ATGGCGAGCATGTTGTCGAACTGAGTTAGCTCTGCGTCTTCCTCCTCGCTTGCGTCGCTATCGTCATCATCAGAGCCTGACTCGGAAGCCTCGTCGCTGTCCGGCTCTTCTCCATCAACCATCTCAACGTCTGAGTCGTCTTCATCGTCATCGCTTGAGCCTTCCTCCTCCGCGTCTTCATCGCCCTGATTGAACAATTCTTTCTGTCCTTCAAGGTTCTCTTCGGTATCCAGGATCTCAGTCAATGAGCGCAACCCTTCGGCACTGATCTCGGATGCAAATATACAGAAAGCTTCTTCTCCGATTCGTCGAAACAACGTTCGTTCATTTCCTGAGAAAGAGAGTACGATCTCGACGAAAGCATTCTGGCCATCAGAAGTTGAAGCTTTGCTCTTCTTCTTCGATGACGCCTTTCGTGACGCCTCGAATGCTTTGTAGGAAGCATCGAGGTCATCGAGCATCATGACGGCATCGCCCTCGCCGTTGTAGGCTTGTAAGAGAGTCAGCGAGTAAAGAAGCAGGAAACCCTGTGCTGCCATCTCGTTGCCAGCTATTGATCCCTGGTGACACTGCATTAGTCAAACGAAAAAAATAGCAGGAGATAGTATACGTACTGTCGCAGAGATGGCGTCAATGGTGCTAAGCGCCTTCTCCATGGTACTTAGAACTGATGCATCTGCTTTGAAAGCAAGATCTAGCTTTGTAGACTTGCCGTTCCTCGCTCTTATCATGTCCAATACCATGAGGGCAACATCTGACCGAGCGCCCAACTTTACGTCCAACAGCTTAGTTAAACAGGATGATAATCGCTCTTGAAACGTTGTACGGCTGCGATCACTGATTGGAGGAAGAGGCATCTTCTTCGTATCCGCCTTCTTTGAGGGAACGAAATAAGCGCACTCCACCAGTGTCTCCAAGATCTCCCGCAGCCAGTTGGACTTTCGGTCTTCTGCAGCGCCACCTTCGCGTAAGTGAGCGATGTCCTTCTTGAAGGTCTTTTCGTTGAACCTCTCGTATCGCTTGTACTGTCTGATCGTGTTAAGGAGCAGGTCTGCGATGGCCTGGCGACGGCTGTCTGCAACGTTCTGTTCTTCGCTTTCAGGACGCAGGATCAACGACTTGAGATGGCGTGTAATCTTCATCAAACTCTTATCATCTGCAGACGCGAGAATCTGCTCCAGCGTTTTCGTCCTGGTGATCCGATCAAACTCGACGCTACCGTGCTTTGAGGTCAATGCGACGAATATGGGAAGCGCTGTTCCATCTTCTTGCTCAACCCTGAGCTGAACGGAAGCCAACGCAGCCAACGCGGCGGAATGGAGAAACCGGTCTTCTTTCTTGCTTTGGTTGATTAGGGTGCGCATCAAATTGGGGCTGAACAACGCAGAGACAGCCCATTCCGGCACACGGATGATCATGCTGCTCAACAACTTAAATCCCCAGGCTTTACGTTCGTGGGATGCCGAAGAAGAGAACAGACTGCTGTCTACGGTATCGATCCAGAACTGTGGGAACTCCGTCTTGTCTTTGGAACTACTCTTGCTCTGTTCGTCTCTTCGTAAGATCTCGGCAAAGACCAAGTCCCAGGTGAAAGACGGGTTCGAGTTTGTGGTTCCGGTCTTGATGGCTTTTTCCTCGCCATCTTCCGAATCGTTCTTGTTGAAGTCCTCCTTCAGAATCTTAGCAAGTCGCGAGCGTTCCTTCTTGGCCAGAGGATCTTTTTCGTGCCAAAGGTTTTCAGGTAATGCCGCTGGATAACTTGCTTGGATGGTAAGCCACACAGCTACGCCTTCGGGCGTAGAAACAAGCTTGAACGCGTTGAGGCGTTCGAGTATCTCCTCGGCACATTTTTGGTATTGTGATTGGCCTTTCAAGCTCCTCACTGCTTCGACGAGGACCATGCCGCATTCTTCCCGGAGCCAGGGAATGTCGCGTGCCATTCGATAAACATTGTCCAAGAGCTTGTTCCAGGCATCCAGCGAAAGTTCTGGTTCGATAAGTATCGATGATTGCATGATGGCCTTGAACCCAAAAAGCTTTCCGATGGTATGATCTCGTTTTTCCTGTGCTTGTTAGCATTGCGACATCCAGCGCGCCCATGTTCCTACCTTTCCTGGCACATTGCCCTTGGCTTTGGTCTTCTCCTCTACCATCTTGATAACAGCCGCCACATCAAGCTGCGAACCTTCGATAGCATCCTGCTTTACTGCAAATAGTTGTCGCAATAATTCGGTGAGCGTGAGCGAGAATCCGACCCTGGCTGCTTTGCGCTGACTGCAAAGACCTTTGATCAGCCGTACCAACGCGTCCTCCACATCTTTGGGCTCTGGCTTGTTTTCGGGCGAGAATTTGACGATGATCTGTTTGGCGGCTTCAAGACGGACGTCGTCTTCTTCGGCTGCCAGGTCTGCGTAAAGCTTAGAGAGCTTCACCTTATCCGAATTACTTTCTCTGCGCCGCTTCGCAGGAGCTTCATCAACTTTTTCGCTTTGGTCCACCTCGCGCTCCCTCTTGGGCAATTTGCTACCCATCTTTACTGATTTCCTGGAGAGTGTATTGGATGTTGTCGCAACGGGACTTCCGCGAAAAGTCGAGCACGGCTCTAGGAAAATTTGGATGCTAACCGAAAGCGGACTAGTTGGTCAGGGTCCAGCCAACGCGAAATCCACAACTGCATGACGTCGTAAGCATGCGAGCTACATCTGCATATTCATGGGAATTCAACATTGCATTTAGCGGAGTCTGCATCAGTTCTATGTGGCGAATGATTCTACTTGAGTCACCTAGAAATCAGATACGAATTTTTGGTCATATCATCATGCGCTGCATAGTAGCACACGACAGAGAAGATATCATAGCCATCACCGTTGAAAGTGACATCCTTAGTATTGAGTTGAACTGCTCTACGTATGTTTGACGTGTACATATCAACCCCACCTCATACAAGAAAAAGCTGAACAAGTCTAGAGCCTACATCGACGCCAGGTCACCTATCTTGTAGATTTTCATGTTGATGTAGGCTGCAGGCCTGTTCGGTATTTTTTCTTGGTTGGCGTGACCCCATCTCGATGACTATCAGTCATCATCCTCATCCAAGCCTTCAAAGACGCCGATTGGCTTTGGACGGTACGTGGTCGGAGGTGGAGCCTGTTCTTGAGCCGGCCTGCTCGGAGACTGTGCAGCCACATCTTGTGCAGACGCGTCTTGTGCAGCCGCCTCGCTCTGTCCCTGCTCTTGCAACGCCTTCTCCCTTGCCGCGTCCAAGTGTGCAGGTATATTGAACTCGTCCAGATTTTTGCCCTTCTGCGCAAAGAATTCGGAATCAGTGTGTGTCTCTTATGAATCCTGGGTGTGCCAGACATACCTCTCGCCAATACTGGAGACTGAATAGAGCACCTGCGCGGATCTTGTCGTTGCTGGGCCACGGGTACCATGGCAGGTTGCTAGCCTTGAGCTTCTTCAGCCATTCCTCTTCCTCTGGGGTGATTTCGAGCGCAGGGCCAGCAGGATCTTCGCCTTCCTTCTGCCCTTGCGCAGCTTCACTTGTTGGCTCTACTGTCTCAGGTGCAAGGGCGGGTGTGTTCAGGCCATTGGTAGGATTGCCGCTTGAGCCGACCTCATCGTCCTCCTTCTCCTTGTCCGCGGCAGGTACGGGTTCACGGTACGTTGGCGGCACGGTGTGTCTGGAGATGTTTGTCGCGTATTGTAGGAGCTCGTCGAACGGAACGGCGCGCGAGTCTTCGGGAAACGTGGTCACGGGCGTGTCGAAGAGCTCATGGCGCAGTTCTGCGAGCTTCTTGACGGACGTCTTGAGCTGGTCTTCGAGCGCATCGGCTTCTGCGCGGAGGTTTTGGATGCGAACGTGATTTGCCTGGTGTTTGGCGACTGCAGTGCGTCAGTCGTCAGTCGCTGTGTCAGCAGACGTAGCCCTGGAGGTGTTCGCGTACGTTGGTCCAGGCCTTGACTGAGCTCGTCGTCAGCAGCTAGCAGATCGACGGCAGCTTGCGTGGCCGGGTTGTAGGCAGCGATGGAGTCGACCAAGGTCGTCAAGGCCTTTTCGACGCGTTCGAATTGCTCATTCAGGACGTCTTCCATGGTTGCTTGGTGGGGACTAGCCGTGCGGTCGACAGAGGGAACAGCGCAGGGTCAGCGAACGTGGATCGGGTGGAGCACGCGCATACACGTGACGTGAAGAGGCATGCGCGATTATGCGCGGTGGCCGATGGGGTCGTAGGGCTGGCCGTGTATGCAGGTTGCGCGCCAGACGGGCGGAGCTGAATGGCCAGCGAGAGCAGTTCGGTCTTCACATTACAGTCGTGAAACCGGACCTTGAAGCGCGAATCACCCACGGGCGCTTTTGCTAGACTCGCGGGGTTGCCCGCCCATGATGCATGCGAAAGCGGGACATGACGAAGCGGCCAGGGCTGCCAGGGCCCTCTCGGCGTGGCCGCTATTTGCGTCGACGGGCTGGAAGCCGAGCTGTCACGACGACCAGCCTGCAGCATATATCCTCCGCTCCCCTGCCTCTGCCTGTCTACAACCATAGTCCTAGTCTCGCTCCTATCGCCCACCGTATTCGTCTTCCAAGGTTCTTCCAGCGTGCTGCGCCTCCGTCTCCCAGAAGAGCACCCCGCCGTCGATTGGCCCGCCACTTACACCCAGCTACCACTCTGATTGCTGCTCCGCCTTCCAACGCCTAACAATTCCCCCGACGGCCTGCCCTTCCTTCCTACATAATCCGGTGCACTCCTAAATCCTCTACGTACGATATTCCGCACATCTAGCAGCCATGGGTAAATCGTAAGTTCTCTTTCCTTGCTGCTTTGTAATGCGGGGCCATCGCGCCTACCACCCCGTCGTTTGGAGATTCCTGCCCTTCACCTCGGACACGCGCGTCGTCGAGTGAAGGCCACACGTTGGATCGGACCTCGTCATGGACCCTTCACCCAGGCGCAAATACCGCCCGCTCGACCCCACGCTCGATCGCCCACGGCACAAGCATGTTGCAAGAGCTCTACATCCACGACCGCAAGAAGCCCGCGCATACAGCACCGCTGCCTCCCATCCCGTCACAGGCGCACGGAATCCCGCTGCTGGAGCACTACCACCCGCCTCTGCGGTTCGCGCGCCGCCATCACAGCGACGTACCCCGTCACGACGACTCCGGCTATGCGCACTACAAGGATATGCGGGAAATCGCCTTGGCGAATGCTATACGCGAGTTGGAAGACGACTTGGGGTCGCGCTGCGGAATCAAGTGCTTGGAATTGCAGAACCAACAGCTGATTGTACATCGCTATAGCCAGAGTAAACTATCACAGCAAGAGCTGGCCGACCTCCAGAAAGCGACACACTTCGACAAGAAAGAGCTACAGCAATGGTACAAAGGTGCGCACGCAGTGGGGCAACTGGGTCGGACTGTGACTGAGTACATACAGGCTTCCTGAAGGACTGTCCCTCGGGCATGCTCACCAAGGAGGAGTTCCAAAAGATCTATAAGCAGTTCTTTCCGTTCGGGGATCCGTCGTCATTTGCAGATTATGTCTTCAATGTCTTCGATGCAGACAAGTCCGGCACAATCGACTTCAAGGAATTCATCTGCGCGCTGAGCGTCACGAGTCGCGGCAAGATGGAGGACAAGCTGGATTGGGCGTTCCAGCTGTACGACATTGACGGAGACGGCAAGATCAGCTACGAAGAGATGCTGGCAATCGTAGAAGCCATCTACAAGATGGTATGTAGTCACGCCCTAGGAGGCGCCTTCATTACTGACATGTGCAGGTCGGCTCCATGGTTAAGCTCCCGGAAGACGAAGACACCCCCGAGAAGCGCGTTAAGAAGATCTTCCGCATGATGGACAAGGACGAGAACGGCAGCTTAGACATGGCTGAGTTCAAGGAGGGCTCGAAGCGCGACGAGACTATCGTTTCCGCCTTGTCTCTGTACGATGGTCTTGTGTGAGGAAGAGGGTCGATACCCAGTGTCATTTTCTGCTTGTTTCGTTATAGTCGATATCACAGCGCATTTGTGGGATTGGCATACCATTATTCCCTTGCTGTTAGGGTGGATGACCTCGCCTTGGCGTACCGGACATCATGAATGATGTATACAAAGTGCGCATTTCGTTTCCGCGGTCAAGAATGCAACAACAATTTCAAACTTCCTTGGTTCTGCATGTTGGTCTGACTGTAAGCCTCACCCAGGGAAGCCTATTTTTGGGTTTCTTTGGTACAAACTTGAAAATAAGCGTCTGCATGGCATGTCGGGTCTGTGTTCTGACGTGACGCAACCCTGCGGGATGCTGTCTTAGGCGGCCTTCAGGGAGCTATGGACAGGTAGCTTGAGAACAACACATTGCTAGTACCGTGCCGCCTTGCTGTCGTACCATCGCCGGCTGCACGCTATGGACAAATTACCTGTCTGATAACAAGCCATCATTTTCTCCTCCGCTATCGACTTCTGGCGACGTTTGCGCTGCGACGCTACGTTTCGGCATTCCGCCCAGCATCTCAAGCTGACGCCGGCCCGTGGGCTCCACCACGTATTAAAGCCACTTTCACGCGCCTCGTTTATATAGGCAGACACACCTACACAATGCCGCGATCCGCGATATCAACATGCAGCGCAGCGCTGGCAGCCCTGCTAGCCATTGCACCCTCGCCAGCGTCGGCCTTTTACTTCCCAGGCACCGCGCCAACTTCGTACAAGACCGGAGACGCCGTCCCGTTATACGTCAATCGCCTGACACCCGCCGATTCGCAGAACGACCCCAAGCTACGATCCGTCTTCTCTTTTGACTACTACCACCCGCCCTTCCACTTTTGCCGCCCAAAAGATGGCCCCAAGGAAATTCGCGAGAGCTTGGGAAGCATACTGTTTGGCGACCGGATACAGACGAGTCCCTTCGAGCTGAAGATGGGCATGAACGAGTCGTGTAAACTGCTTTGTGAGGCGCCATATCCGGGCAAGGACGCGGCGTTTGTAAACAGCAGGATATACCAGGGCTACGACCTCAACTGGCTGATCGATGGGCTACCTGCAGCACAATCACTTAGGGAGCCGGGCTCAGACCAGACATTCTATCAGCCAGGCTTCGCGCTGGGTCTTGTAGACGAGGACCAGCCCATGCTCAACAACCACTACGACATTGTCATCGACTACCACGAAGCATCGCCGGGTAACTTCCGTGTCGTTGGTGTGCTGGTAGACCCATACTCGGTGGCAGAATCGAAGAGGCAGGGCGACGATGGGGCGACGTGCAATGGACAGACACCGGTCATTCTGAAAGAGAACGAGGGGGATGAAAACCTGGTCGTCTTCACGTACGGCATTTACTGGCGACCAAGTCCGACTCCGTTTGCGACCCGATGGGACAAGTACCTCCACGTATACGATCCCAAGATCCACTGGTTCTCTCTTATCAACTCGGCCGTCATCGTCGTCTTCCTCGTCATAATGGTCAGCACCATTCTCGTGCGCACCCTCAAGAAGGACATCGCGCGCTACAATCGTCTGGATCAGTTTGCGCTCGAGGATTTTGGAGAAAGCGGCGACGGTGATGATACAGCGGATGACTCTGGCTGGAAACTCGTACACGGCGATGTATTCAGGCCACCGAAGAACCCGCTGCTTCTGTCGGTTTTGATTGGCAACGGAGCTCAGCTCTTTGCCATGACAGCGTTGACTATAGGTATGTCGCCAGAACATATCCCATGTCAGGTCCCTGCTAACATCAATGACAGTATTCGCGCTTCTTGGCTTCCTCTCTCCTAGCAACCGCGGCGCTCTCGGAACCGTCATCATCATCTTCTACACACTCTTCGGTTTCTTCGGTGGCTACGCCGCGGCACGCACCTACAAGTTCTTCCATGGCGAGTCGTGGAAACTGTGTTTCTTCTATACCCCGGTAGCTCTACCCGCCATCGTCTTTGGCGTCTTCTTCCTCATGAACCTGTTCGTCTGGGGCCGCGGCGCATCCGGTGCTGTGCCCTTCACCACCATGCTCGTAGTCGTCATCATCTGGTTCGTCATCTCCGTCCCGTTGAGTGTCGCTGGTTCCTGGCTCGGATTCAAGCAGGCCGCCATCGAACCACCGGTTCGTACAAACCAGATCCCACGCCAGATCCCACCTGTGGGAGGCTACCTGCGCCCTCTTCCTTCCATGGCCTTGGCCGGTGTACTTCCCTTTGGCGCCATCTTCGTCGAACTCTACTTCATCATGAACTCGATCTGGTTCTCAAAGGTCTACTACATGTTCGGTTTCCTGTTCATCTGCTTTGGGCTTATGATCATTACCTCGGCGGCGGTTACAGTACTGATGATGTACTTTTTGCTTTGCGCGGAGAACTATCACTGGCAGTGGAGGTCTTTCTTCACGGCTGGTGCGAGTGCCGCGTACGTGTTTGCTAGTTGCTTGCTCTACTGGATCAAGGATGTAAGCTGGACTAGTTGGACAAGTGGCGTGGTGTACCTAGGATACTCGGCATTGCTGAGTTCGCTGGTGTTCATTCTGACTGGTGAGTTGCAATCTAACCCCCCTGCTCGTAAACCGCGTACTAACGGAATGAACAGGCACCATCGGTTTCTTCGCCAGCTGGCTATTCACCCTCAAGATCTACAGATCCATCAAGGTGGATTGAGCGTGGGGTAGTAGTGGAGATATGCCAGTACACCTTTTCTTCTCCTTGGGATCTCAACCCGTCAAGTAGCGTGCGATCTTTGCCAATATAGACTTAGAAAAGGCATTCTTTACGTGGAGAGCGTGCCCGTACATCTTGGACTTTGCAGCTACATGTGAAAGTGAGTCTAGATTCAGTGCTACGATCAAGCGAACTGACGCGCATCCCATAACCAATATTGGAATACGCCGTATTCTATGAAACCCACTTAAAATGATAAAGAGGTACTCACTGATTCATCGTCAGCTTATCCTGTGCCAGCCTTATCATCCTCAGCTGTCTTGATGCCCGACCACTCTGATCAATTTTCCAATCTCGTTCTCCTTCTCCCTAACATACCCGTAGGGTCATCTTCTTCCTCCTTCTATGTGTACGATTGCCTACTCTTTCGCTCTTTTTCCACGATGACGTCAACGCGAGGCATAACAACGATAAGAACACACCTGGGCACACACACGATCCCACCACACGCGTTTCCAGCGTCTACAAAAGTAGCAAAAGAACGGCGAGACCCGCTCTCCTACCCGCCTACCTAAATATGCACGTTTCAAAGAATGGGACCCGTTCTCGAGTGCACCGGTGTACCACACTGTTTTCGTCGGGCATCTCTCGGATTTCAACTCTATGCATGGACCTGCAGCACGCTTTACCAGATCAGGGTTAGTGGGCGGAAGCTAGTGAGACCCTTCCCGTCGAACTATTCTATGGACCCGTTGAAACCCAAGACCCGAGAGTTTTCCGGGTGAAGATTGTCATGAGTGATGAGACTTTTTTGCAGAGGTTGGTCGTACGAAGCGTGGAAAGTTGGAAGGGTCTTATCAGGGAAATGGAGGCGCGTGCGTGTGTGTTCATACATATATATGGGTGTGCCGTTGCCCGGGTTGAAAGTGTTGATGATCAGTTTTTTTGGATTGCATCACTGTTGCGATACATCCTTGGTGTTCAACTTGTTGATTATCAGGCCACTGGGCTTTTGAATCATTCTTACGAAAGTTGATGATCTTTGACTTTTGTTGAAGTCATTGGGATACTACTCCCTATATATCAAGCTTCTTTCCGCCGCATACCCCTAACTACTAGACATATTCGTCACCCCGATCATCGACTCCACACTGCAGACCTCGAGGTCTGAATAAACCTACCATGGCGACAGAAGGCATACAATTCCCCACGACGCGGGACTTCGCCAGCCCCTCCAACGACGCAACACACCCCAGCCGACCCTCTTCATCTTCAGATACCACAACCCTCGATGCCGAAAAACCCGCTCCCCTCCACCGCGCGCCAACAGCCGAAGACATAGTCAACCTACCCACCCGCACCCTCTCCAACGATGCCAACCTAGAGGAATACACACAAGAAACCATCTCGGGGCAGATGATGCGTGAAGTACGGTCCAACGCAGGCAAAGTCGAGAAGTACGACTTGGTCACTTTTACCATTGACGACAAGGAGAACCCGAAGAATTGGAGCAAGGCGTACAAGTGGTGGTGTACCATGTGTGTTGCGGCGACTTGCTTTGTTGTTGCGTTCAACTCGGCGGTTATCACAGCGGATCTGGAGGGCGTGAGCGCGGAGTTTGGGGTCAGCGAGGAGGTGGCGCTGTTGACTATTACGCTTTTCGTTGTTGGGTTCGGTGTTGGACCTATGGCTTTTGCGCCGGCGTCTGAGATTTGGGGAAGAAGACCGGTGTATGGTGTTACGCTTGCTTTGGCGGTCATCTTCACTATCCCCGGAGCTGTCGCGCAGAACATCGGAACGTTGCTGGTGACGCGCTTCATTGCTGGTGTGGCTTTCTCGGCACCTATGACGCTTGTTGGTGGAACGCTGGCGGACATGTGGAGATCGGAAGAGAGGGGTGTTCCCATGGCAGCTTTCAGTGCAGCACCGTTCATCGGCCCTGGTGTTGGACCTTTGGTCGGCGGTTACCTCAGTCAAGCCGGTGGATGGCGCTGGTTGTACTGGATCCAACTTATCCTCAGCTTTGTCGTCTGGATCCTCATCACCTTTACCGTACCGGAGACATACGCGCCCAAGATTCTGGACAGGAGAGCGAAGAAGATGCGCAAGGAGACGGGCGATGACAAGTTTGTCACGGAACAGGATCTCGATATGCGACCTTTCAGCCAGCGCCTCCAGCTCTTCCTCCTTCGACCCTTCCAGCTGCTCTTCCGTGAGCTCATCGTCTTCCTGATCACGCTCTACATGTCGGTTCTGTACGGTCTTCTGTACATGTTCTTCGTCGCATACCCGATTGTCTACCAGAAGGGCAAGGGCTGGAGC